GGATTAGATTTAGCCAATAGAGAATAAAGACATACCAAGTATCTTGAGAAAGAGGAAGTTTACGGTAGGATTTGAACAAATCTAACTTCACTTTACAGTCTGAGATGTTCATTATGAGTTATTTAGATCATAATTGTTCTAGAATTAATTAGTATTTTGAACTGGAATTTTTAAATTTACCTTTCAATCTGCTTCATTTAGTATGATGACATAATATATGAGGAATCAGTTTAGTTGTTTATTCTCACTAGAAGGGAACATAATTCGAATAAATCGTGTACAGTTAAATACACAACGAAAGTCAAATCAGGCTTTTTGAATTACTTATCTTGCTGATGTCTATGAATTTAAATTTATTGAAGTGTTTTGCGTTTTAGGTATCGACTCACTATCATTATTCACTTTGATCGGTATACTCCAACTTTGTATTGTAACACCAACACAGTAAATACAATTGTTTTAATCAGCAAAACATTTTGTTAGGAAAATCTAGTAGTCATGATTATAAAGTTGAAAAATTTGATCTAGGATACTTTATGTTATTTTATTGAATAGAAACATTGAAAAACCTTATAAAATCTAAACCACTAGATGTTAACTCAGTGGTCCAAAGACTAAGCATTTAGCATGAAACCTGAACATTCTCCATTCCCTCCTAATGGTTTCGTGGATGTACACTGGTGAAAAGTTTCATACTAGGGTAAAACAACTGACCAGCACATTCTGGTTTAAAACAGTTGTTTAACCATGGTTAATTCGGGATGTAAATTCTGATGTTCATCACTATCACTGTTTAGATCTACTTACGGGGTTTTTTTAATATTCAGTTAAATTTACATATACATATGTGCAAATATATCACTAAATTACATCACATATGTTGTGTGCTACTTATATTGACATAAGTAGTAGATGATGTTAGTCGTGAACAGAAGGTCTGGCAGCAGAGGGACAAGAGAATCGAACAGTAGAGAATGGAAACAGGATGCAATTTGTATGAAAATGCAAGAACAATGAAGTCTGAGTCATTTTGAGACAATTGGTGGACATTTCGCAAATTAAGCATTTACCTTATGATTGTTAGATTTTATTAACAAGTCCTGTAATTTTGTGTTAAATACATTCGATTGTCCCCAATGGTGTTCTTGTTCACTACACACAGACCCGTAAATTACCTTGGTTGAATGTTTATAAATATAACTGGGTATTAGATTAAAGCTTGAGAAAATAATTGACAATAGTTTCATTCATTTATTTGCTATTTTCGAATGAAAATTAATTGTGAAAAATAAACAATCGTTAAATGAAAATAGACTTCTCATGTCTCATTTATCAATGAAAATTTTCCTATGATAATACTTATGTAAAGAACAAGAACACGAATGGGGACAATCGAATGTATTTGAGCATAAAATTACAGAGCATCTCACTAAAATCTGAGAACCATATATTTAAGAGTTAATTTGCAAAATATCAATCCACCATCTCAAACTTCACTGTTCCTGTTGAAAATATCAGCCCATTGTCTCAGATTTCATTGTTCATGCATTTTCATACTAATTGGGTTCCGTATCTGTTCCTCTCTTATCGATCTCGTACTGAAATACATTATATGTCTGACCACCGTTATATACTCCTTATATGAAAGTGAGTAACCCATACCACACTTACACTGTTGGAGTGATCCAGAAAATTTATCGCAAAAGCCAAACAAGGATCAGCGAACACTAAAAAGCATTCATCCAATCAGAGTTCACTTGACGTTTTAGCCAGAAACATCAAGGAAGTGAAACGTCACATGTAGAGGTTCCGATTGGCTGATTGCTATACGGCTACTATGTTTAGTAGCATTCCAGAATCTTCGAGCAACCCAAAGACATTTAAAATATTATAAAAACCCTATATTTTCAGTACTGAAATGAACCTTTGGAGTACGGTGCTTCTCGCATATTTTGCGCCTTTTCCATCTTGTTCATGTCGCTGTATAGTTCTAGCTTGAGGGTTACAGAATAACTTAGGAAACGAATATAGTGTTCAGTTTGCAAGACTTATCAGGATTCAGTTGTCTAAGCACTTCAATGAATCTGCTCTATGACATGTATTAGAAGACGTCCTTTCAGGAATAAAATCTGAATATATTCGGGATCTTCAATCATAAAATACTATCGATTACAATATACAGTAGTATGAATGATCATAAAGAGGTCTACATCATTAAATGAGGCTAGTTACTCAACCATTGAATACCAGAAATCACTGGACAGCTATCTAGTCGTAGTGTGGGATTACTTAGTACGCATTCATGATCTCTCAATAAATTGAACCCAGGAAACTCAGGTTTCATAGTGAGGGCTTAACTTTCAAACCGTTGAGTTAACATTGAAGTTTAATTAAGTTGCGATATTGAGCGTATATTACTGATGAGTAACTCCCTCACAACAGAAATGACTGAACTCTACTGATCATTACTTCTTACTAAAACTCAGGTAATTACCCATCGACAGTCTGATTCTTAATGGTTTTCCAACCAAGGTTACTTTCGATGAAAAGTACAAAATTTAACAATATTCACAAACCCCTTACATTGATCACATCATTTTATCTTGTTGTTAAACTTCATGAATGCTGAGAAAGTGTAAAATATGCATCCAGAAGGCTTTCTACGAATTAATGCCCTACTCCTTCCCCAGAGAAAAATTAACTAAGAACATTTACATTACTGATATATAAATCTAAGGTAATGATTTCATATAATTACATACTTGTATCGTTTTGAATGAAATATATTTTCTTGGTAGTTTATTATTTAGTATCAAAGTAAACTTGATAATGCTGGGATCGAACTATGAAACCAATGCAGAAAATCACTGACTTACTATTTGAATCTTGCTATTAATTCGATAAATAGTATGTCAATTAATTCAATTTGGTGTTAAGTGGTCATCATTATTCGGCCAATAACTCTAGATCTAGACCTCATATTGCTTTATCTCAAATCACTCAACATCAAGCAAACTATGTAGCCTCATTTAACGAGGTGACCATACCAATGGAACTTGAACACTAATAAAAACTCGATAACATGACACAGATATTATACCTAACCAATTAATCGAAAGTGTAGTTTGAAATATTTAACATACAGTAAAGTCTACCACCTATCAAATTCCTTCATTGTATCTTATTGCAATTTTTTCGGAGATTCACTCCAATCCAACTGCCCGTATATTCTTGCTTTCATGAATTGCAGATGTGAAGAGATATCAGCAGTCTGAAGTAATGGATCTACTTAACAGGTATGGATTTATTATTTACACACAGGCATTGATCCAACACAAACTTGACGTTCATTTATTTCGAAAAACAAAATTCAGACCAACCTTGTCTATAGATCATACAAGTAAACAACGCAGTGAAAAGTTCGGTGTACTAATCTGATCTGGAGAGGTAATTGAAGTTTGGAATGGATGAGCAAGTCGGAAGCTGAGCTTATGATAGAAAAAGAACTAGCCCAAAAGCTTGGATTGATTCTATATGTAATACACAGATCATAAGAACTTTGGCAGATTTGTTTACAAATTCAGTTTTGTGCACTTCACATTAAAGACGCGGCCCAAATAGATCAGTGGTAACATCCATAACTGTGTGGCTGAGTGACACGGGACTGAATCCACCAGGGAGCATTACTTTGTTGACGAGTGACAAATAGCATGAAACCCAAGTCAAGTACGATTTACTGTCAACTACCTCTAACTACCAATTTACATCTCAACATAGTCACCTAGACTAGTGTCCACATTGCAACTTGATCGATAGAGTTCGATCTGCATTGAGAAGAAATTGAAATACTTAGCATTGGTGACTACCCAGTGATCAATCAATTGTAAAGTATGATGAAACAGTACAGCATGGTGAAAATTCAAACTTAAGTACCAAATTTACTGTAAAACGACCAGACCTTCACAGATGAGCAGCCAGTCAGTAACAACGTAGAACTTCGTACGTACGTACATCAGTTCGAGTTGCCATACCACATTAGCACAGAGATGCAGTTGTCGATTCAAATCCCGTAGTGGTAAAGGTAGTAAGAGTACAAACAAATGGGCAACATAGAGACGCATTCGTTCCAGAATAACCGTACACCATGAGCAGTCACCTTTTACACTGAATAACAACATAAAGATTTGAATTTTAAAAAATGAGTAAACAATTGTTTATTTTAACAAGTAATATAAAAAAGGGATGGATAAACGCAGAACTTGCACACAAATATAGGAAACACTGCTGCCGACAACAATAAACAATCAAACACCATACACACATTATAAAGGTAAGGAAATCACTAAGATTATTTACAAAAAATCAGTGTACAACACAACAATTTATGAATGAGAATCGTACAAAGTAATAAGATTAATAATGAAAATATCTACTCTAACCAAAATGAAAACAATCTAATATTAGTAGCATTTAAATAATATCAGCATAATTAGTGCCAGTAGATGGTGTTAGCCAATATGGCATAATTAACAATGAGGAAAAGGCTATATATATAAAATATAACCTGAGATAAAGGAATGTATTGAGTTGTATATGGGAAATGTGTTTATAGGGCATGAAGCACTGAAATCAAGCCTATATATGTATGATACACACACATGAATAAATGTGTAATTCAGTATTTCGATAGAGTACAATGATGTATTTAAAACTAATATTAAGTATAGAGAAAGAGGTAGATTTCTAACATTATTAGATGAGAGAAAAAAAAAAGGAAACTGTTGACTTATGTATAAAAAGGTAAAGGAAAATTTAAAAAAAAAAACAATATGAATTCAATACAGATATATACAATAGATGATCAGATCAGTGTTATTGAATTGTGATTAATTGAATTTTTTCATTAAAATATAAAAGCATTTCAATTGAGATCATAATTTAATTAGTAGTATTCATAGTTATAAGTAGTATAAAATTATTTTCAACAATAAACATGTGAATTATGAATTAGGTGGATGTTTAAATTGTGATAATTCATTCAATGCATCTGGATGATGTGAATTCAACTCGTCAAATAAATAATCACGATTATATATTGAAGAATTTTTTAAATAATCTGATACTAATGACTTTTTTTCTGGTGTACGCATTTGCCATTGAACTATACAACGTTGATTAGAACTACTACGATATTTAGTTGATGCTATATAACTTTCTTTCACTGTTAAAACAACTGATGTCATTAGATTTTTAGCAGCTTGTATTAGGGAAGTTGCACTTTCAAACTAGAATAAAATAAAGAAGGTTATAAAGTTAATAAATGGAGTAGGCTAGTGTAGAAGAAAGCTAATAGACAGAATATCTAAAACACACATTAATATCTTTTATTATTTCATTGAGTAGTGACCAATATCATAATTGTATAGTCCTTTAATACAAATTAAATTCTATCAACCAAGTTGCAATATGACCACTAGTCGATTTGGTTCGACATTTCACGGAGTATGTTACGATGTTAGGTGGTTGAAAATATGTCTTCCTGATAAGTACCACATAGCACGAAACTTAAGTTCAAAGTTTTCTGCCGACTACTTCCAACTATCTTAAATGACTACATGTACTATTTAACTGGAAGAAAGTACTAACGGATTAATATATAATGATATTTTTCACGTAACGCATTTACGAAGTAAACATTTCGTATTTAGCCTTGAGATATATAGTTTTTATGAGGACTAATGGTTTACTACTCAGTTTTCCAAACTTTAATATACAGAGAGATGAAACATGTAACTTTTTTTCTTGAAGACGAGAGCTTTAACTATGAGGCCACACGTCTACAATAGTTTCAAAAGTCTAAGTTAGAGATTTTAAGTTTAATTTCTCACAACTCTGGTGTAACAAACAAACAACAACCGTATTTGTAAGCTGTATTCATCACAGATCGATATAAGTTCGGGTATTATTAAAAATATGGGTGTTACTGAATGATTCTGTCATCTTCATATAATACTTATTAGCATTGAATATTTATGATTTCACAGAGATTAAACCCAAGACTTGTAAAAGATGTGACGAAGCTTTTAATATATAGTGCTTTTTAACCATATTTTTGGCATCACCAAGATATTTCAGAAACCAGTCTATTTTGCACACATACGTGATAATATTTGCTTTATCGTCTCAGACAAACTCCAGCACAAGCGTACAAGCCATAACTAATAATATTGACGAGTATGATGGTGTCCATACATTCACTGAAGGTAAGTGTACGAAATTGTTTATGCTGTACGGTTGTGAAGCGTGAATTCTATTAATCTATGAGTTGAAATTAGTTGACATTCAATCAAGAATTCAGTTAAAGGATCCTAATTGAGTTGATAAATTATGCTAAAATGTTTCCAAACTCAATAAATACTGATAATTAGGTGTAATACAGTTTTTTACTCATAAATTAACTGTCCCGAATAGTTAGGTAAAAAGAAGTTGGTAATTGTTTTAAGACGATAGAACTGGATCCTGACAAGAAGTAGTGAATTGTTTCAGTGAAACTGATTTATGGCATCATATTCTGTGGTCACTAGCTACACGTGACATAGGAGGATTATGAAAAGGAATACCAGAAAGGATGTGTTCAATCGTACGGAAAAACTGCAACCACTCTATAAGTTACATCGAATTTATGTTTTGTTTACCTGTACTGTATGTGTGATTTAGACAGGATCAATAGCCTGATCATCAAAAAAATTTGTAAAGACTCCTTTGTAGCTATTCAAGGAATAACCACATAAACTGTTATGGTAAGTGAAACTGGTATTAAAATTTCCGCGTGAAGCCAGCCAACCGAATAAACATTTTTGTGATATGCTTCAAACTACTAATACACATTCTAGTAGTAAATGTAGCAATTCAATAAAATTGGACCAAGTCAATGTGTATCATTGATCAGTCAAGTGGAAGTGTGTTTCATTAAGCAATACTAATTAGTATGCATATTAATTCAGATTTCCTTCAAAATAAGTTCTAAAGGTTATAGAACTAAACATGAAATGCATACATAATTCTATATATTTGAATAGTTAATTAACAACGATAATAAATCAATAGTTCTTAGAAAAAACAAATGTCCATCCTAAGAAAACTTGTAAAATAAACATGTTGATGAATTAAGAATGATGTAACACTCATTATGGAGATATACCCTGGGTAAAACTTCAATCAATTACGATATGGAAATTGAATTGAGTCAGTGAAAGCATAAATAATTTACGGAGTAGCTATCTGAACTCAATAGTTAAGTGGAAAACGCGACGGCATTTGAAGAAAACGGTACTGGGTTCGGGTTCCAGAGTGAAAATCAAATCTGGGATGCAAGTACATCTGACTAATGAATCCAAAATAAGACGAAATGACCGTCCTGGATTTTACTACTAGCCACTAACCAACTCTGCTTATAATTTCTGCAAGTAGTTTATGCACGAAAAATCATTCTTCTTCTCCTCTCATCCTTATATAGCAATCAGTATTGATGAGATTCTGTCAAAAGGGCGCGTACTGAAGTGACTGAATTTGTTTAGTAATAACGTATATAGCCAAGAAAAAGTTGGGGTGGATACGAACGAAGGATACGAAAACAAAACTCGTGTTCACACTTGTTGGGACACATCAGGAGAGACGACAATTAAGTGTACTGTTTACACTAAACTCCACATACTAAAAACCACATATTCAAGTCTCTACTGATATCGATCATTTAGTAACATATATATTCATAATATAAATAATCATCGAGGTGACTTACAATTTCATCACTGAGCATGTGAACACCAGCTTTCACTCGACTAGTAATACTTAGTTGATGACAATAGAATGTAACTCGTTGTAAATAGGCGGATAAATCTCGTCGACTAGCTGAATCGGGACACATATCTGCAATATGTCGGCATAGACTATTTAGACGTTTACCATGTTCCGATATTTCTTGAGCTGCCTAAACGTATGGAGTCGTAATTCGAGAGACAAAAACAAACAAAACAGAATGAAGATTAACAGATTATTTCACTGTAGAAAAATCAGCTTGATACACCGAAGTGGTGAGAATAAGATGATTTATGTTGAAAATTATGCTCCATGAACACATAATCAACGAGCTACAAAATTTTTATTCATTCTACATTTACAAATTATAAATTGAATGATATTTTACTCTTTTAATTCAGTTTCAGAGTTAGCAATACACAGTGTTGAATACGAAAGCACACGAAACCTAAGTTGTTTTTAAACAATCAAGCTTGAGGTTTTAAGATGACAACACTGGTTAAATGATGGTGGTCTCCAAGATGTTGAAGCACATGTTATCAGACTATAACAATAGTCATACGGCATTACAAGTAAGTGCAAGTAGTCCTTCGGAGATAACTATTAACAACGCATACAATTATCATAAATCATCAATATGAAAATAACAGGTTCCAGGTTCCACTAAAGTAAAGCTAAATTTCTTTTAGCAACTTATTGTATATTAGGCTTTTCACTGTCAGACGAATGTTGTGACACTCCCAAAAGTGAACCGAATAGGATTATACATAACCATCTTCGATTATATATAAATCGATTTCGTCTATCACATTACTAACAGTATTTGAACAACGACACAGACATAGATAACATTATCACAAACGGATTATCACTAGAAATGTATCCAGTAACAAGATCCTGTTAATCTTCTAAGAGTACTACTTGTTTTAGTAAATTAATTTCCGACTAATTATGTATAATTTCGATTGTTAGTATTTTCTCATATAGTAACACAAGATTCACAACTATAAGAAGGTTTTACAACAGATAACATATTGACAACCAAATATTTCTTTGATCAAGAATAGCATATTTGTAATATCCTAATGAGTAGAAAAATTAGTATTTTCAACACTTCAAAGAATAAATAAACAAATCAAATTAATCCAAGTTTAAATGGTACAAAGGAGTAAAGCAAGAATATTTAGTACAATCAATCAATCAACCAATTAATCAATCAAAAACAGGTCTGATCAAGTCAATGTCATCTCACTCTCATCTAAGTGATTTCTATGAGATATACTTATGTATTTGTATGTATGTTAATCGATGTGAAAAATATGATATTTGTAATGTGGAAAGATAGAGTTGACTTTATATTTGTGATGATGGTGTGAGATGTGAATAGAATCAGATATAGTAGCTCCGAAAGATGATCCAAGTTGGATGGATAGTCAGGAATTCTTTACTATTGAGGGCAGTAAGATTAAACAATATATGGGAAGCTTCAGCTAATCCCCTGTCTTTGTAGTTGGAAAAGTCTTTTAGCATTATTTTGATATTTTTAATATCGACTTGATGGTTGTTGAAAATGGCACAGACTGCTATTGCCGATTTAATTCGGAGTTTTTCAAGTTGTACAGGAATATTAGGCGGTATACAGATGATACTATTGTTGTAATAAAAATACTCATCTAAGGTCTTTTTCTAAACTGATCAATACACTCTCATCTCACATCAAAAATACGTAATAGAATGAAAATGAACGCGTTCTCTTCAGCTGTAATAATTTTGTTTGTTCTTCTAAAGAGACTAAGTGCTAAAGTGATTTCTACACTGAATGGATGTATAGAATTGAAGTCGATATAACGATTTAAGCGCGTTGGTTTTCGATAGGTGGATGGATTTAGAGCTCCACTTAGATTTCTTTAAACTAAGCAATTTAAAAATGGTAGCTCAACCTGTGCTTTTCCATAATTAATGTTCAATACACAATTAAAAAATAGTGCAGATACCAGATTTTAAACAGAATACCTATTATTTACAGCTAAGTATTACTATTAAGAGAATCGATTGCACAAAATTGGCCAAATAACACCAAATTGTACCATCTTCTCTACAACAAGCTGATGAGACGTAGCTGTAAAACGTAGAACAAATAGTATGGTCGTGTATAGAAACAAGTGACTGAAAGTATAAGTTTTTAATGCTATTACTTTAGACTAATATTTATTGATCAGTAGTCGTTATCCATTTAATTTAAAAATGACCTTCACCATCAACTGGAGTATCGTTGAAGACTAGTTAGAAGTGGAGGACTTTGTCCAATGTCCCGGAATTCTTAGGATTTTTAATATCTAGTATAACCATAAAAATACTGGACTAGTGAAAGCGTACTGTGTTGATGACCTTCAGTGACTATTAAAGTAACCTTAGGAAAGGAAAGTTGATGTTGAGACAATCAAAATACAAAGTAAACGAATAATTGATTACATAAAATCCCTCAAAAAATGTTCGGATTAGCATTCACTTTCAATTAGGATTTAAGATTGAGTAACCGCCGTTTCAAAATTAATTGCTTTGTTAGTAAAGTATACTGTTTTCGAAAAAACCATCCAACTTCCCTCGAACACAGTTATTGAAGTTAGTAGCATTGTAGCCATACCTTTAATATAAAGAGTTGAATATCATCTGAATAACTGTTGAAAATTTAAATTTGTGTTCATTTAATTTCGGCTATTGATTTATTTACTTTTGAAAAGTGACTTGGATTAAGTCACCTAACGTCAGAAATTCTAAATTCTACTCCTTACCATATCACTAATATTAACCGCTGGAAATGTTGTTCAGCAAAAACAAACCTACATATTTATAACTTACAAAATTAACTTTATATCAGAGAGATAGAAAAACTAATATCAAGTACATGAATAGATATTTTTCTTAATCACTTACTTCGATAACATCCAATGTAGATTGTAATGGACCTTTACCACGTATAAAATCTGTCATTTCCATCATAATTACACACATTTTCTTAGCTAATACAATAATATCATTAGCAGAATCATCCCATTTAACTATTTCACGCATAAAACGTTTTTTTTCCGCTAGAAATCCAGCTAACTCTTCAGCCATTGTTTCACGTTGTGGACTTGTCAATACAGAGAAAACTTCATTTCTTTCAGATAATTGATTTTCTTGTGATGCATGAATATCTCCAGTGGATTGTTTAAATGAAACTAATGTTAAATTTAAACAGAAGATTAAGCGTTACAATTTGTAACAGGAGTACAAAAGTAAACATGAAAAATAAAGATAAAATGATCTAAGAAAAATAACATAAATCATTAAAAGGTGCACGTTTGTGTCCTCAGTTTTAACGTGTACATTTTTGTGTAAGGATTAAGGAAACGTACTTGGTTCCAAAAATCGAGGTAAGTGGAGCATGGTTGGAACTTATAGCCCAGTCAGTGAAAGTTAAGTATTTCAACTGCAAGTCCACTGCTTAATAAATTCCAGTTAGATAATCGAGAGGATTCATTTACAAAACAGACAATTTGTCTGAGATTAGACATAAGTACTGTTGTGTTTTTTTTTAGCTTAAACTGGAGCTAACCAAGCTGATCGGTTAGGCACTATAGAAATAATGAACAAAATATAATTTACTAAAATAATTTAAGTCAGTTATTATTTAATAGATTTCATTTTTCCCCATCATTTTGCTATTTCCCATGCAGAATAAGAAGTGATAACTACTGTTTGGGAGCTCAGAGAAAGAATTTAATTGGTCCCAACTAGAAAACAACAACAGAATATGAAAAGCCCACAGTTTATCAAACAAAGCATAGGTTTGCTCTTCATGGTTACACTCGATAAAAGATGGGACTTAGTCAATCAGTTACAATCAACGTAAGCCTGGTACAGATATGCGTTAGCTCAAACTTCATTCATAAACTAGAAGAAGACAAAATAATCACGGTAGCAATGAAAGTGAGAAACACTAAACATTCAAAATAGGACTCGAAAAGGAGGAATGAAAAAGTATGTCTGAAGGAATTTATAACTTAAAGCAAGATAAAAAGTGAATCCATACATAATATTATGATCGATTCTGAGCCATATCACCTAACAGCCTCTAACCACTAACCTCGGTTGTCCAGTAGACTATAAACCAGATAGTCAGTACCTATGAACACGCCTCAGATAAATCATCATCGAAATTATCAAGACAAATATCTGAGTAATAGTATCAGCGGTAGTGGTAAACGTTATATATAGACAATATAATTTCAGAAGAAATGAATTCTTGTCATGGTAAAAATATAAGATAACTTTAGAACTCCAAGTCTGAGAGATGAAAATTCAATGCTTCTGTGCTATAAAAACCGATTATGAGAATGAGCTTAGACGACTTTAGATGTTCAGTGGATTTAAAAAGAAGATAATAGGTTTCAATGTCATAAATAATGTCTTCTTTCGCCTATATCTACTTACGAACATAAAAATATTTTCATTTTAGAAAATATATTTCGTAATGTATATCAGATAGCACGTTCGTCTTATCGCTCCATTATGAGGGTCTCAAAACACTATAGTTTGTGATCACAAGTACTTAGAGTTGGGTAAAGTCAATAAATTAGTCGAAAATGTCACATTATGTATATCAGTCAACCTTCAATTGTAATCAACATTGAACCTGGCTCAAACGTATAGGGTTCTAATGGCTTATTCAAACGTCTGAGACACATATTTCCCAACTGTCAAAATATCCCAAATAAACTAGATGTTTGAAATTTGTTTTGATCAAATAATTACGAGTTTAAAGTGGACTCACTCACGCTTTACTGTAAAACATCTATAATTTATCCCAACGTTAAATACTGGAGAACTTAAACAGAAACACTGCAATAATTCGGATATTTCCCATTCTATTTATCTTTTAAAAAAAACGATAGACATATGTTGGAATTCAAGAGCCTTAAACACGATGAATGGAAACAATTATAGCAAGTGAACTGATATAAAAAAATTTTATTGACTGATTATGGGTGGCAGATATTGACTGTTGAAAACATTTAAATAATGTATTTTGAATAATTACAGGTTTAATCCATGTTAAAGAGATATTCATTGTAATAATGAACAATCGGTGTTGAGAATACTGTTATCACTATTATATATACAAATGATCTAAAACATAAGTTTCATACTGAGTCATAAATTAGCATTGAGAATAACATGAACACTGTAACAGTATTGGATTGTTAGATTTAAAACATTGCAACAACAAAATGATGTCTTTACCATCGAATACAGTTTTAAATTACGATCAGAACTACAAATAATACAAATACTAGATAGAATAATACAAGTAGTATAGTTCGAGTCAAGAAATATATTGCGTTTAGTTTATGAGAAATCGATGATACTCTGGAATCGAAAGTTTAATTGCAATAAAAATTATTAAAAGCAAGGTGGTAGGAGTAAAGATATTGTTAGGATCGACCTTTTTAACCGGATCCTTTTGTTGTAGGAAGCCAGCATATGTTGTTTAACTTAGGGCGACACCTTACTCCCGTCACAGCTCTCTGCAGTTAAAAGTACTTTACAGTCGAACGTTCAATTTACCATCCTCGTATGGACCCATCTGTCATGGTAAAAACTCCAGGAACACGTGTTCCAGTCAATATAGCTCTAACGGATCATCACAATAGCCAAGGCTAACCAAAATACCTCATGATACATCATAGTCCAACAGTTTATTACACTATGATCTTATGGAATATTTCAGTTTGGTCACTAATAACCTTCTGAAAGGCAAGCATGTTTTTATGTAAAGTAAAACATTAAATATTTCGTAAATTTTTGTATTGGTTGTTTGAATCCCGGGGAGAACAACTCTAGGACATAGGTACATCCAGCTGACGAGTCCTAAATAAGACAGAATGCGCGTCCTGTATTCCACTATTAGCCATCATTCGTCTCTCCTTGTAATCAAATATTTCGATTTTAATGTTCAATATTCCATTGTTCTTAATAGTAAGAAAGTACAGTGTAACGTGATAAATATCTTAAATATTGTTTTATTATAAAACGGTTGTTGCTTTACATCTTAATATGTTGATTTATTCAGTTAACTATAAAACTTATATCATTTCCATGGCAAAGATACTATAACTTGGTTGATTTTACACAAATCAGCAAGAAGAATAAACACATTCACAAACACAAGTGTGTGCTCATCCACACACACACATTTAAACAAACATGTAGAATGTGTATCCATTACAGATTGAATTAATCTACATGTATATTAAGTAACAAAAACACGTTAAATGCAACATTATCTACCCACATTTAACCCGGAGATCATTTGATTTACAACAAATGGACACATTTAAACAAAACAAAACAAAATGAACAGTTTGTTTAATGTGTGCTACAATTTTTTTTATTTGCTTCTTAGTTGTGTACAGTTTTGAGGTATCGCAAAAATTATTATGAATGATATTCAAAAGAATCTTAGGCCTAATATAGCTCTATATTTTTGTTACTGACCGTTTAAAAATGAAATTGATTTTCAGTTTAGTTGACATTTTTCATTGAGTACACAATGAGATCTTGAGATAGAATTGATTCCAGACTGCATTTACTTCACTAATTTTCTTATTATTATATGTAACAGTTAAGAGATCATTGAAGAATCAATCAATCATGCTGTCAACGTTGAACTGAATTATTTGATGTAAAGACTATTGCATTACTAATTAGACTGTTCAAACCAAAGTCAACAGGAAATATAGAGAAGGGTATATGAGTATTTGATGGAGCTAATAGGTGGAAGTGTTCTTAATGATATTAGAATTATCATACCTTAATTATTTTAATAAAATGTTCAACTTAATAACATTGGTTATAAATTGAAAACAAATGAAGTATGATTTATCCACTTTATCTCTTAAAATAAACAGTTGATTGATAGCTAAGTGATATCGTTTTATAACTGTGTACCATATGAACTTATTACTTATTTTCATGCAAGTAGTATTAGTATCGGTGTTATTAATAATTGTTAGCATTCCAATGATCTTGTAATTTCATATTCACCATATGATTTTGTTTTTCGCCTTGTTTGATTTTAATTGAATTAAACAATTATTATGCAAATCACTATCTACATTTTTGCGGTTGTTATCGTTAGTATTAGTATTACATATGTATCTACCTACTTGCATACTGCTAGTCTGTTACATATAATGTCACAATAAATATCCAGGTATTAAGTATTGGAATTTAACTAGAGAATTAAACACATAAGGCCTTCAATTATTCATGTATTTTGTGTTAAAGTCTACAAGATAATCACACCACTCGATTATTTATTTCCTCTGAAGAAATGCCTTACATTAAGTCACGAAACGTCAGAAATACAATTTTTCTACTCATTGGGATATAACAAGAAAATATATTTATTATTACAGTATTCAATAGTTTAAACCAAGGTGGACGGAGAGTGGTTTTAAAGTTTACAATTCTAATAGTTAAATGATATATGTTTCGACGATTGTATAACGATTTTGATACTTCAAAAGATTGACTAAAAACATTCAGATAGAGTAAACATACTATGTCTGTAAAATGGCTACAGTAATTCTTATATTTATACTTAGGACAATAGATATATGAAATACCATCTAAGCTCTCATTATATACGATAAATATTAGCTGAACTCTTATATGTTTAAATGTACTTCATTTGACAATCTTCAATTAAAACGTTCTCTTGAATGTACCTCATTGAATCATTTAAAATATGTCATACTATTATTTCTTTTTATGCACTTTGATTTAAGACAAAAGTACGTTACTATAACAACACAAATTGTGATACATGTAACATATATGCTTAAAAAGAAACTTTTGTAATGATTTGCAAAAATTGAAGAATATATTAAAACAAAGAATTGTTCTGTTCAATGTCTTTTCAGTATTTTATTGAACTATACTAATAAGAAGTCAACTGTCTTAAAAATTACAATTTAGGAATTCATTAATGATTGGCTTTATTTTTCAGTTTATTATTCTTCTATTAACAAGTAAATATTGTGAATGTTAAACAATCAGATAAAGTATTTATTCTTTGCAATTAATTGATACTGTTGTGAACGAGAACATTGATGGGAACAACCAAATTATTTTTAACACAAAATTACAGAATCTGTTGGTACAATGTGAGAACCATACATTGAATAATTCATTTGCAAATTCCCATCATTTGTCCATCATACTGTCTAAGATTCTTCCAGTTTACAATTCATTTCTATTTCCCCTTCTATTCCCTTCAACTCGATCTTCTTAGCCTTCTGCTGCCCGGTTTTTCACTTTCGATTGGTATTACATATTACTTATGTCAACAGACAAAAGTATCATACACCACAATACAGTTCAATTACTTAAAGATAGATTTGAACTTTTGAATTAAGATCCCAAATTCAAACAGTGGATAAAACATATTCATTTTGTTTTTTATATTATCATCACTTTAATCACACAACTACGAATGAAAGGCCGATTAGAAAAGTCGATATGAAGTTCAGGTCAATAGAATATTTTGATCGTCTACTTTTGTTAGAATTTCTTCTGCCACAGTATCTCTTTTAAACTGAATGTTTACAAAAAAAAGTCTTCTTCGGTGCGATGAATAACTTTTCACGTTGTTGTATCGAATTCAAACTTTCCTCAACGAATATTGGTGGATTTCCATTGTTAATTAGTATCAGCCATAGTTTATCAAGTTCGATGTTGATTGCATCATCAGTACAAATTCGTCTGACCCTCGTAAATCGATTTTCGTAGAGAATCATCAGTTTTCCTTTTCAACAAAATATCGAAGAAGTGGAATTTCGAATCCGACTCTGATTCCATTGGAAATGTAATTAATTGGTGACAGTAACTGAACTTGTCTAAAATGTCTTGAAACTTATATTTTTTTCATAAATAATGAAAGTATCATCTAAATATCTCCTGTATGGATAGAAACTGTCAATTGTTTGTCTAAGTATAGTGTTTTTGAAAGCATCTATAGCACCAAAGGAGATCCTCTTTATAAACATTAAGTTTAAAGGAGATACTATGGCAGAAGAAACATTATCATTTTTATCTATACACAATTTGAGGTTATGATGCATTAAAATATTCATACAATAGAATCCTAAGAAGAAGACTTGCTTTCCTCAATAAAGGAAAGTAATATGCCGAGAAAAGTTGGTCATATTATCTTATACTATCCTATATAGCATCATAGGAAGATAAATACAATTTTAAGTGGACTATTATGGATAAGCGAAATATTAATTCAGCTAAGGTCAATATGTTGGTGTGACGACTTCTGAATACTCATGAATTGTAAACGTCACTATTCAGCGTTTGAAAATAAAACTTATTGTGGAGTTTTGATGTTCGTCCACTAAACTACGAGTTATTTAAGCGTTAAGAACATGCCTGTGACTAAATCTGATAACGAATCACGAAACGGTTGAAAAACCTGAAGTTGATAATGACCAAAAGAGAGAGAGAGAAGAAAAAAAAGACCGAATTGTGATAATGTTACAACCAGCAACCTATACACATTTATTCATCTTTCAACATATAAAAACATTTATAACAAATAACACTCTCTCTCCTTTTCTATTTATTGACCTCTATTAAATAAATGAATTGTCGATAACATTAATTCCAACCAAGAACTACTGTCATGTACAAATATACATATTTATAATATGTCATATGAAACTTAATGAAAAACTAATTTCACTGAAAAATAATCATACTAACAATAATAGTAGTAGTATCTAGAGAGAGAGAGAGAGAGTAACAATGAAAGACAGTTTATCGAAACGTTAACAAGAAAATACTCTCGACAAAAAAGCAACAACAGAAAAACAAACGTTTTGCATAATGGATCTAATCGAACAATAAAAAATTAGAATGAACACAGCTTTCTCTATATAAAGGAAGAAATTACAAAATTTGTTCACATTAATGAAATAAAAATAAAACTCTATTTTATATCATTATCGTTTATGCGGTAAATACTTACGAGATTTGTTGTTATAATTAGAAGTGGAATTATTTTCTAACATTGAACTGACTCTGTCCATTTCTCTTATTGATTTCTGTTTATCTTTCACTGAACCGACTGAAACTTCTAGTTGTTCATTGTCATTGGAATGTTGATCACGATGACGATGATAATAATTATTATGAGGGAGAGGAGGTGAAGGCAGATGAGGTAGAGAAGATGACGATGGTTGAAGATTATCAACATTACCGTGATTGTCTTGTAAATTTAATGACTCAATATCATTATCAAATGGTAGATCACATTCATTTAAAACAGTTAATCGTAGATCATGTACACCACTGCATAAAGCATGACCTGAATAGCGATAGGCTTTTTCATCGACTGACTGGCCAGCAGCTAAACGACTAAGTGTATTACGTGCGATATTCACAAAATCTGGAGTATACTATGGATTTGTTTTGTTTTTATATCGAGAAATGTAGAGAAAAAGAAGAGTAATACAAAACAAAACTTGATGAAATAAAATATTAATAATCTTAAATAAACTAAAAGTGAAACTTAAAAACAAAAATTAGCATTTCTACACATGTAAAATTGGGGCGTGTGCTACTTATGTTGACAGATATAAGTAGTATATAACACTAGTCGGAAGAGGAATACCTGGCAGCAGACGGTTGAAAAGAGAGAATTGGAGAGAACATTGATGTAAACAGAGATTAATTGTAATAACAACAGTAATGAAGGAATGATGAAGTCTGTAAGAGACAACTGATGGAAGACGTGCAAATGAAGTATTTAATGTATAGTTTTTATAGTTAACGAAGACACTGTAATTTTTCCTTAAATAACAAATGGATTATCCCCACGAAATCATCGTTCACTACAAAATAAGGCTATTTATAAAATGAACAAATCTTATTGCCTTTTGTGTGAAGAATTGATATGGATGAATTTTTAACTCATTTTTATATTGATTGTTTTTGAATCTTCCGATTAATGTTTAGGACTGTAGTTAATCAGTCCTTTATTGACATATGTGTATCCTGTGCGGGATGGCCTCGATATTGCCTTAATTCACAGACATTATAAGCAGATACAACCATCTGACGAGTCCTAAATAGGACGAAACGCGCGCCCTGGATTCTGCTGCCAGCCACCATCTAACTCTTATAATGCTTGGGATTTTAAACTGTTTAAATTTTCACTCTATCCTAATGAAGTGTAGAACATCCAGCTCATTAGAATAAAACAAGTAAAGTGATTGAATATTAAACTCATCAAATCATTAATCATGTTTCTATCCTGTTTCTGATATTATGTTCTATGTATTCATACATTAATTCGTTTGTATTTTTCAAATACCACATTATACTATTGATTTAGTTAAAATAATACAAATGAGGCAAGTTATTTTGATTGATTACGTATTTGTTCATTGGGTGCTTATCTAGGACTATATATTCATGAATTATTCATCGAGAAATACTTCCACGACGCGTAGTAAACGAGCCGTTCTAACCGCAGTAAAGGAAAATGAAAGAATTAGGAAATCTATTCTGCAATATATAATTCATTTATAACCAAGTAACACACGACTTATAATTTAATTTGATTTTTTATAACATAAACTTATTTCCGATTTATCGATTTTCTTATCGCTGACTATTCGGACTGTAATACCTAAAATGCGATTTTCAGTATGGAGTTGTAGTTACGGTTAACTTTCACTGAAATAATGAACTTATTTAAGTTCAACCACCGATGAAAACCTGGAAGCACTGGACGGCCGTTTCATCCTAGTATGAGATACCTTAGCAGTTGCATTCACAATCCTGAACTCGGTAATCGAACCCAAAACCTTCAGTCCTGCGCGCGAACACTTCAACTTATGATTTGTTCAACTACTAGTCCACTTATTGATAAGTTCAACAATTTTTTAAAGAAACAAATAAGCAAGTTGTACGTACACACTCTGCTATTTCCTCACAAAAACTCTTTATAATCAAAGCTAATCGTCATACAACTCTCAATTGCCTTGGAACTGATAATTATGTGTTGCTCATTAATGACTGACTTTGAGATAAATTTAAGTGATAAATTGTGACTAGTAGAATGATTAGATTATTAGAAAGAAGTCAACAAATGACTGTGAGCCTAGGCTTTGTGTTGATTGGCACTCGTTAGCAAGGCATAACTACAATCTCGAGGGAATTAAAGTTCGCCGGTGGATTTGAACTGGGATTAACCAGTCTCACAACCGGAGACGTTACAAATGAGCTTGACGAGACGCCAGTGACTTCCTGTATGATTGAGAGATTTACAATTGATTAATTACTGAGTATTGGCCAGTATCATGTTCATCTAGTCCTTTAGTGTTAACCGAGTTCTATTGATTGGATCTTGATGTGGTCCACTAGTAGAGTAGAAGAGTTCAATCATGTCGAAACAATGAGACAATTATCCATAATTATGGTAATCAATGATTATTGTATTATACTATGAATTGATTGAAATTGGAAAATATAGACTATTGGATACTAATTCAAAGAACTAACAATAGTAGACTTTATCGTTATACCTAAATTCATGAGCTCTGAACTCTGATAACATTATAAACAAGAACTATTGATAATAAATCATACCAGAATGAAATATAACCATAACAATAAATTCTAATTTTAACAATCAAATATAGGTGTAATATTTCCTTCTACTAATTATTTAACATACTTGATCACGTATTAATGTAACTTTTTCCATCACCTGATCAACATACTCATTGTTCTCAGTTCGTGCAATCATTTTATTTAATATTACTTCACAAATATAAGCTGAACGTTGCTGCATGGATGTTGATGTTTGTTGAACGCTTAATTCATCTTTATCCTATAAATTGTTTGTTTGTTTTTGTTAAAAAAAAAGAAGACAATGAAAAAATTACAAATTAGAGTTCGAACTATAATCGCAAATAATTTAACTTATTTACTATGTACAGAATAGTCCTGTTAGATTCGTGTGGATGGTAGCGATTTTTCAGTTACTCATATATTATGAAGGTAAATGAAAAGGATATTGGATTAGTAATGATCTTGAAGATCTAAAAGAGTAATTGTAGGACACAATCGATAACTACTTGAAGATAAGGTCATATAAATGATGTGCTATCTCTGTACTTTGAAAGACTCTGTCATTGATGGAAATCCGTGGGGCTAAAAAAGGTGTATCATTCTCACGGTCGACCTTTACTAACACGTTTTTTTTCGTCATAAGAAGGCAGCATCACTGTAGATTTTGGTTTCCTGAGAGATACACCTTTGTGTTACCACATTCCATTACAGTCAGCAGTAAAACTCTGTTCTTGGACCTTGAGCAAATTGCTTTTAGACTTGTCATTCTCTACTCGACCTTAGAGACATGTTAGGACCAAAAAGAACAAGTGTCCCAGCCAAAATATTTTTATTGGGTTATCATAATATGCAAGATCAAACACTAAGTCAAATCGGAAACTACAGTCAGACCAGGTGCAGACTCTCTTACTTGGCTTAGGGTTGTATTTTAAGTATAAGAAGTTGGTGATACTACCCTTCAGCCTAAATTGAAGTAGGTGGAAAGGTGTTCGAACTTGAGACCTGGTGGTTAGAAACTGAATACCCTAACAAATAAACTGTCACTCTGCAAACTATAATGAATAAATAATTATTGCTTACTGTGAAAGTTTTATTACCTACCTCTATAATGGAATCTCGTAAATACTCATAAAAATGATTTACAATCTGATTTGATTATAAGCAAGGTTAATGAGATGTCCTGAACTCAGTTAATTTACACAAACACACACACACACAAGTAACAACAATGATAACTGTTATGATCAAGAATCACTGATTATTTTGAACAAATAACTGTTTATATAGTTTAATTCTTCAGAAAAAATAGTTGGGCCAACCTATTGTAGATTTATTTTAGATTAGTTAAATCATCAAAAACAGGTAAAAACGTAAGTAATTTGGATAATTTTTCTTGAGAAAAATCCACAGTTTAGAGAAGAATGATCGTTCTAATTTATGATATACATATATATCGATTAACACGTGGCGATTCAACCGATACGTTCCAGATTCGAAATTCGCTTCACCTACTTCGATTTGAGCAGCCAACGAATATTACGAGCTTCCATACAAATAAAATAACTCAAATCTGATTAATTAATGAATGAGTTATCCACTGAATATGTAAAACTCGAACAAACTTATAAACCAGTTACATTACATATATTATTCAACTTATTATTGAATAACTGTAATAATATTAGAATTCACGTTATATGTTGTGTTCTATGATTTAATTCAGTTATTTATGGTTTGACCAGCACCCTATCCCTAATGCGTTGAGAGACCAAATCAAGATTGCGTTGGAAGATGTGCCATGACAAGATGAATAAATCATTCACTCAAAATAGAATTCCTACCATGAAGCCTTTTATCAGCATATGTATTTGTCCGGTTTACTTGTTACATCGTCCTCATGACATGAACTGACTGGAACAGAAAATTTGGAATACTTGATTACTGATTAGGTGAATTCTAAAGATATCGTGCTCAGTGTGAAATTTAAAGGTTTTGTGTTTGAAACAGTAAGGATTGATAAGTGTACACTGGGACAAAGTTTTAAAATAGGAAACAGGTGTCCAGTGGTTCATATTTTTTAAATGGTTCATCAGATGTGTCGTTCAGTCAAACGTAAGTAAGGTAGAACATAGTACAAATGTATATCAGCCTAAGTTGCTATACTACGTTAGCAGAGCGTAATGAAACTAATTTTCAAATGGTGTCAGTTTATGCTAGATAAATCATTAAAACCAATCAGTTGGATGAGAATTCATTTCCATTGCCGATAATAAACTATTCAGAGACTAGATGAAAAATTTCCCGGATCCACTGAATGTACATGTAAGGATATATGCAGTGAACGAACACAGGTGGAGAAAACCAATGTATCATTTAGTGCAAAACTACAGTGTCTCCGTAAATTATGAAAACCATGCATTAGATACTTAATTTGCACATCTTCCATCAGTTGTCATTTACATTCGTGAAAGAATACTTTGTTTTAAGAAACTCGCTTAAAAAATCTGGATAAGTATTAAAGATCTTATCGAATTGAAAGTACACCCACAATAAGAATCAAAAGATAACTCCTTGAGCCCAGTAGCAAGAGTCACATTTGTTAGTATTTTTTATTTGTCCAACAAGCTCTGTACTTTTCAAGCCTAACCGCCTATATCGTGATCCAAAAAAGGATGTTATTTTTCAGAATGATCTCGTCCGATCTCTTATCAAGTAATAGGGCAGGGAAGTACCTCCGGCTATACTGCTTTTTAACAGGAAACCCATTAATTCCACCATACAACCCAGTACAACCAACAATAGAATCTTCTTACGGTATCTAACTACATCTGTCTGCCTAATATGATGGGACCTTAAAGGATGAATATTTTGGCTAATATATAACGAGATTGAGCCATCAAGATAGACAAACCATTGAGTGGCAGCGGACAAAGTCAAAAAATCAGTTTCTTTTTGAGATCTTAATCCATATTTCTACACAAATAACTATCAATAATCCGACAATTCAAAATCAGATACGTACAGCAACAGCTTTTTTAAAGGAAAAGGAAAATATAAACAGAATTAAAACTACATACCGATAAGGCACGAATAGATTTTTGATATTCCAACAACATTAAATCATCGGATACAGCTAGGAAATCATGCATACCAACTAACTCATTAACACATGAATACAGTAAATTGACCGATTCTTCATATACCTTACGAAATGCTTCATAATTTAATTCAACAGACTAAAACAAACAAGAAAACAAATATAAAAATGTATAGGGTTGTGAAGATTGTTGAATTTTAATTGAGATCATGAACTGACCAATATTAGGCCACCATTGAAAACCTGGAAGGACTGGGCTGCTGAAGAGTCCTGAACTAGGACGAAACGACCGTCCAGTGCATCCAGGTTTTCAATGGTGGTCTTACATTGATCAGTTCATGATCTCGATTTAAAATATAAAAGTGAACAAAAATGTTACTGGTAAAATTTGAGATCAAATAAACCTGAGCATAATAAATAACTATTTTTGATACAAAAAAGTAGTAACTGATCACAGGTTTATTACGTAATCCGCGTTTTTTTTATTTTGTGATATACCAATTACTAGATGATGAACTAATGATACACGTTAATCTAACTAGTTAGACATGAGTGAATAAAGGTGAAATTTTGAGAACTTTTCTTCGGTGAATTATTATTATGATTCTACACATTTTTCCATTATGCATTTAGTAAATATTTGGTTTATAGTATTTTTATATTACTCTGACTGTTTAGCTTTCAGTTAACTCAATAACTGTTGATATTATCTCTTACCGTTCATAAATTACAGTAAATTAATTAAATATTTATTACTCAGTATTTTACTACAAAATATCCTCTTAGTTATGTACAGATTGTGGTGTACATTGATTGTATTGTACATCTGATCCTGTATTTCATTTCTATTATCATCATGTGAATTTTAAGCCATAATATAAACAGAATATATTAACTGTCTTTTTTCATGTTCTAATTGGACACGAAATGGTGTGGATCAATCAACGTTAGCATAGTTAATGAACAGAACAGTGAACTCATCCATTAACAGATTAATAATTTATTAATTCTAAATAATTACAATCAATTTAGCTTTAATCTACATTACTGTTATGATCTCTCGTATTACCACTCAGCTACTATTATTGCTGAGTATTTTTTGGACACTTCACTTTACTCGACAAGTCCCCAAATCAGAACACGGTTGCACAGCAACGTAATTATATTCTAAATAAGGAATCATAATAATTTTTACATAAGAAGATTCTAAAGTCTTCTCCAAGTATCCGCCAGCGCTGATTGGTTAAGGAGCAGCCAATCAGAGTGCCTCGATAAAATCCTGCGCGGAATATGCTCTAATCTAATCTATGTTACGCTAATAATTACAATCTTTTATTTTAAAAAAATATTGACAAATGAGTAAAATTATACAATTTACCTTAGAAGATGGATATTTAAATAGTAAATAAGCTATATTAATTAACTGTGGAACAAGTTGTTCAATTTGTTGACAAGCTAATTGGATTTTGCTGCAACATTCTTCATCTATACTCAATGAACATAACTGATAAGCAGATGATATCATAGATACAGAACGTTTCTGAATGTAGAAAAAATAACGTATAGAGGAATAAACTAAAAGTTAAGATGAAAAATTTAGAATTTCTTTAATGTTTCATGGAGTATTAAAGAATTATAAGCTGTAGAATGGAATTTCATCGTTCTAATTACGTCATTTTTGAGAGGAGGATAAGAACAGAGTAGTAATAGTGTTGGAAACACAGGTGCGGACAACCAATACATTTTAATACAAAATGAGAGTATATTGGTAAAATATAAAAGTCATACACCGAATAGTTCACTTGCAAATCTTCATCACTTGCCCATGACATTCCCTATGATTCTTCAAGCTCACAATTCATTTCGATTTTCCATTCTATTCTCTTCAAACCGATCGTCTTAGTCTTCCGCTGCCCGGTTTTCCCCTTTCCATTGGTGTTACATGCTACTTATGTCTGTCGACACAGTGGTAGTAAGTAGTAGTATGACAACACCATCAGAAACAATACAAACTGTACAACAACTCAAAGTTCAGTATACATAAATCGGTACTAAGTAGATAAGTTGCACTAATTCTAGTTAATTATTAGTTATTTTGAACATTCAAACACTGGCAATAATTGATCATCGGATAATTCGAAAAAACAAGTTTTCAGCAGTTGGCACAATCATATTCATATGTTTAAACAAACAATGAAAATAGGAGATATGAAATATGATAATTTGGTTATATATACTTTTCTAGTTTACATTTCCTACTCAGAAAAGAAAAGTTGAAAGATTGTCCTTGACACATTCAATTTAATGGTAGGAATAGTAAGATGATGGAAAGAGATTTGGTATTTTTAGTGAGTTGGTGACTAGCAAAATATTGACACGAATTCAAAAAAATCCATCTGACCATTACCAACGTGTACTCAACTATGGTGTGGGCAAAATATCAATTTTTTTATTGAAGGGAGAGTATGTTGTTTGTGCAACACTCAACTATTTACTTTATAGTTGTAAAGGTGACCTTTTAAGCAATATCTACCATTCTTTTCCTCTGAAAACTTTTTAATATAACTCAGTAACTCTGTACATATTTGTATATACGACCTCGAGTTATACTTTATATGAGATCAATAGTAATTGTTCAGTTCAAAGTAGATGGACTGGGAATTTGAACCTAGAACTTATTAATTAAGAATCGATTGCTTTAATCACCATTAATTAAGTCATTACTGTATTGTCGACAAAACCAGTGCTACTAATAATCACACCTCTTCAAACAACTTTGTTAACAACAATATTTTAATTTTTGCAAAACCAAGTATAAACAATAGAATATTCACTAAATATAATGTAATTAAGTACAGTTTTGAGTCTCATTGTATGTACAAGATCTCTTATACTCTATCTGAGTGATTATTTATTTATTTAAACACATACATATTGGTACAAGGAGGCACCAAATACATATGCACCACATAAATCATTCGATTTGTACGGGGGCTGAGATACTGCCCAGGTGCCCAAACCGAAACAGGTAGTTTTCTTAGGAGACCACACCCGGAGACTTCGACCTAAAGGTCTGATCCACAAGGTAGTAGAGCAAAGTCAGGAGATGCAATCTCATGGTAACCGGTGACCAAAGATTGGTTCATACGCCATTTGTTTCTTCAGGATCCTGGAGTCAATGTGCATCATTGGTTTGGAATCAGGGTTTTCCAACTCCCCTAGGTTGATCATTTATATCCAACAACCCGGTTAAAGCACCCGACATTCGCCTTTGTCCTTTCAATTTCGTAAACAACATCCTGCAGCAAGAAGGCAATGAGTAGGACTTCCCTAGCAGTGGTTGTATGCACGTGGCCATGTGAGTGAACGAATTGAAGTACGTGATTAGTTAGTATAGTTTGAATGTATGACTTACCAAATGAAAACAGAATATTTTAACTACTATATAGGTATCGATTCAGCAACACAAGACAAGACATCAAATAGTAAAAAGTCAATTAAATTATGATAAATTACAAATGAATAATTTAATATTAATTACTTGAAAAATAATTACAATAAACTTTAATTAAATTATCACCTGAAATAATTGACAAGCTGAATCAATGCGTTGATCACATCCAAATTTTGTTGCATCATTCAATGCCATTAAACAAGTTTCTTTAGCCATAAAAGCATTTGATGTTGAATCAATAGCACAACGAATAAGTAGCTGTTTCAATGAATTGATAATTTTTAATAATTTCTGTATAATTTTCTCTGTTGCTCTAACGTCAACTGTCTAAATAAATAAGTAATAATTAATTAATTAACTAATTAATAATGGTAATAATAATAATAATAATAATGAGGAATGAAAAACAAATCTCGACCTACATAAAAGTACATTTTAAATTATTATTATTATTATTATTATTTTAGCACATAGATATTGGTACAAGGAGGCACCAAATACATATGCGCCACACAAATCTCATTCGATAAGTGTGAAGGCTGTGATACTGCCCGAGTGCCCAAACCGAACCAGGTGGTTTTCTTAGGAGGCCACTCCCCGAGCCTTCGATCTGAAGGTCTGATCTACAAGGCGGTGGAGCATCGTAAGGAGGTGCAGTCCCATGGAAGCCGGTGACCAACAATTGGTTCATACGTCATTTGTTCCCGCAAGATACTGGAGCCCATGTGCACCATTGGTTTAGAATCCGGTTAAAGCGCCAGACATTCGCTTTTCGTCTTCTCATTTTCGTAAACAACACCCCCGCCACGAGAAGGCAGTGAGTAGGACTTCCCTGGCAGAGGCTATATACACGTGGCCATGTGAGAGCATTTCGAGAGGGAGAGCGGACTCTCCCCACTCTCGGCCGTACCAGGGCATTTTAAAGCTTTAATGCGATGCCATAAAAATATCACTAGATGTATTATGTTACATAATTGTTTAATCAAAGATATTTTCATTGAACTAATTGGTTCATTCAGGCAGTTTTCATTGTCTTCCAATTACCAAACACTTTAATACGAATGATTTGTATAGTTCTCATTGTCTGTTTAAACAACATCATCAGCAAAAGTATGCACTTATGAAAAAAAACAATGAAAACTGTACGAATAAACCATTCAACTCAGAAAATAAAACATTTTTCAAAATTCTGATTCTGAACTTTAAATATTCTACATCATTAGTACAGTTGTTGTTAGTCATAAAAAGTGTAAGATCATGTGGCACAGATTCCCATTGATTCAAAATTGCCTTACATTCTACATCGGTAAAGATTAGATGTGGAGAGTACAGTTTGAAAAGAAGGAATAAAAAAGATCTAGCAGAATATAACGAATAAATTTAAGATATTGAGAGCAATTTTAAAGTATATTACATCAAACCTTAAAGCAGAGTGATTATTGATTATTGTTTGGACGGTAAACCAGGTAACATGAATTGCCTCACATGACTTAAGGTTAAAAACTAATTGACTTTATCAATTGATGTCAAATATTGATCGGGACAAATTTGAATCTCATTCTTGGTGGTGTTGAGCTTCAATTTTGACTGTGAAGTTTACAAACAAACTGAATAGGGATGAATATCATTTTATCTAGTTCTTGTAATATTAATCGAATACTATAGACTAATTTGCAATTCAATAACACTATACAAAATGACTTAGAATATCGATGTAATTCATTTGATGTTACGCGAATGATACTGGTCCAAAATATATAAGAATTCAATAGTTCCTTTAAAACTGAAAACACCATATATTTCTGATGTGTGTCAACTAACATGAAAACTTACGAATTCCAACTGATTATCTATAAACTATGTAATATGTGGGAATTTATGACTACCTACTGCTAATCTTATATACAACTGTAGAAACAATTGAGATATGAGTAGAAATAGAACAAAAGTTGGATTTCATTGAGTTGAGATAAATAGTAGAATTATTGAAAAATATGGAGTATTGGAGGATATCTGTTTTATTCTAGTTTTAAGAGTATCCCTTTAGTAATATGCATCTAAAACCACATAGAAGATTGAATGAACATTTCATGGAGAGTATGAATGATTAAGTTTGACCACTGATTAGGAATTACACGATAGACGTGATAACTTTTGGTTAACTTACAATGCGTATAATATGATACTAATTTAAAGTCATAGAAGAGTTACTACTTCACCTACCATTAATCTGATTACACAGGTAAAGTTATCTTCAAACTAATTACTAGTGAGCAAATAAAACTGCATAACTTAAATACAAAATACTTAGAGAGAAAATTCATTACAATGATTTAAATTGTTTCTAAATACAGTCATCTTTGCTACTTGTTATGAATCAAACTAGATGATCACTACAAAAAAAAAACGATAGGCTATTCGTAACTGAATTCCCATTCATACAAAACATACAAGTAAAGCCTCTTGATATTAATAACTCAGTTTTAATAGGTGTTGGATGTATATTTTGAGATAATTGTAAACTTTACAAATTTCTAGTTAACTTTATGAAATCAAAAAATTGAAGTAAAAGACTATAAATTTTACTCGTCTACTTAAAGTAAGCTAAACAAAAGTAAACCTCTTTTTTTCTTCTCGTACAAATATTCAGTCACAAACATAAGCAACCTATAATTTGAGACATAACTGTATTAATTCAAGTTGCCATAGGATATCAGCATACAAGAGATTAAATTAACAAGATAAATATTAAAGTATTAAAAGTAGTAATATGATCAGCAGAAGGAGAAAAAATCAAGCATTCACAATATAAATAGACAATACGATTCGAAAAGAATAAATTCGAAGAAAAACTGTAAGTATTTTACTAATAAAAATAACATAATTGTAATATCCTAATGAGTAGAAAAATTAGTATTTTCAACACTTCAAAGAATAAATAAACAAATCAAATTAATCCAAGTTTAAATGGTACAAAGGAGTAAAGCAAGAATATTTAGTACAATCAATCAATCAACCAATTAATCAATCAAAAACAGGTCTGATCAAGTCAATGTCATCTCACTCTCATCTAAGTGATTTCTATGAGATATACTTATGTATTTGTATGTATGTTAATCGATGTGAAAAATATGATATTTGTAATGTGAAAAGATAGAGTTGACTTTATATTTGTGATGATGGTGTGAGATGTGAATAGAATCAGATATAGTAGCTCCGAAAGATGATCCAAGTTGGATGGATAGTTAGGACTTCTTTACTATTGAGAGCAGTAGGATTAAACAATATATGGGAAGCTTCAGCTAATCTCCTGTCTTTGTAGTTGGAAAAGTCTTTTAGCATTGTTTTGATATTTTTAATATCGAATGGATGGTTGCTGAAAGTGGCACGGACTGCTATTGCCGATTTAATTTGGAGTTTTTCAAGTTCTAGCGGATTATTAGATGGGTTCTTGTGTAAATAGGGTGTTCTTTGGCTCGAGTCAAGGTTTCACGAAATGACTGTCCAATATAAAAGGCATCACAATCGACACATTCTAATTTGTAGACACAATTCTATGTTGACATAAAGGGGATTTTATTCCTTTATGTGAATTAAAGCATTTTGAAGGATGTTAGTTATTTTGTAGTGACCTTTAATTCTGTATTGTTTGAAAATAAGTACTTTAGCACGAGGGTAAACGCATCTGTGGAGCTGTGACCGATTTTCAGGCATCCAAATATCTTGAAACATTAATTACGACAATCGCGTGGATTAAAATCTAAGTAGTCTGTACCTGTCTACACGGCTTCGTCCAACAGCCGATTACTCCATGAAGTGATATGACATATTGGTTTTGACGGCCCTAATTTTCATCCAACTTATTAAATCCGGCAAATGGATAATCTCACCAAAACAAAAAAATATTGTGTTATTTAACAGGAAGTCAAATCATGACTAGCTATTTTTCTCAACAGATCGTATGGATCCTTCAAATTGTAATTTCCCAACTTTTCATTCTTTGGTCAAATTTGTTCCTTTTGCGACAGTATTTATCATGTTAAGGTTTTCATTATAGTTTAAATGAATTTCTCTTATTTACTTCTCATCGTGCTTATTATGTCTATCACTGCAATGATATGAGTTGTGACGACATAAATCGACACGAATTCTTGTCCGATTTTATATTTATAATAATTGACTATTTTAACTTCTAAAATAAGTACGACTGATATTCTGTGGATGTTTACACTCTGTATCGAACACAATTATTAAAGGTTGATTTAACAACTAATACTTACTTTCTTAGAATATTCTGATATTAATTCAGATGTAATATTTTTAAGCTGAGTACAATACTCATCAATAGCAGAACGTCGTTTTGAATTTAATTTCGATGAATCCACCAACTTATAAACTGATGATAATAGTCCCTTTAACGAAAACTGAATATGCTCTTGTATGTGTACAGTCGATTTTCGATCCGGATTAGTAAATAGACTATTCTAAAAAACATAAATAATGGTGATAATTTATTTTATGAAATTTTTCTTCTAAAAAAATAAACAAACAGAACTAGAATCGAGATAAATAAGTGTCTTAATCAAACAGAAAAATTGATTCATTATAGCCATAAGTGATATAAAACCCAATAGGATCTCATATCTTCACTTGTTTAGTCTCTAGACAAAAAGAATAGGTTGACTTTTTTATAAATTACGATAAAACGTAACGTTGAATTTGGATATTAAGTAGTAGTAAACAGAATGATAGATTATGGCTCTAGAAGTGATACGATTTGCCGGGCAAGAAAAAAACGATGTTTCAAAGCTGTTGCTGGAATGTATTATATTTATTCTGTATGCTCAATCGGTACGTATGTACATCGGTTCAAGTTGCCACACTCAGAAAAATAAAGTTATCAGGCCGAATCTTAAAATAGTAGAAGTAGTAACAGTCTCATTGTTAAAAGGAAAGATTAGTCATCGAAAATACGATTCGAAAAGAAAATATGAATTAGTGAAATGAAAACGAAAAAAAATATGAGGAATCTAGAATCTCGGAAATTGAGGGAAGACAAAGAATAAATGCATGTGCGTCATTGCAAACGATTTGAGCCATATCAAAGTCCCTAACCATTGGTTACGATAATCACGCGGACCCCAATCAAATAGTCTACAACTATGAACATGGCTAAATCCTATTGTCAGTGACTTCATGAACTGATGCCATGTTTTGGTTTGGTCGTCCGTAGCTTTCGTCCGGCACACGCTTACACCAGAAAATATCAACCGTCAAGATAGCCGGTATAGTTGGGCATAAGCAACACATATCCCAACCACCTCAGTTCATAAAGATTTGCTACATCTTCAGTCGATTTCCCAGCTTTACCTAGTAATCTATTCTCAACCCAGGCACCGGTCCCAAAATACACGATCAATGCTTCGAATACCAGTAACCTACGGATATTCTCTGTTCTTAATGGCCATTTTCAAACCAATAAAGTAGAACGAAACAAACTGCTACATACTGAACTCACCCTTTGGTTGTCAGACGGATATCTCGCCTACTCCACAAGTGATGTAAGTTAGTGAAAACCAATCGAGCCATCTGGATCGGTGCCGAGGTCTTGTCAGACACCAAACCATCAGTACTGACGAGACCCTCAAGATAAGTGAAGCGGTCGATGCGTTCACTACCTATCCTTAAATCAGGCGATGGAACACGCCAATCCTGAAACAAAGTCCTGCATTTCAAGGGAAATAGCCGCATCCCAAACATGCTTGCATTGTTGCTTAAAGTGGTCAGAGGACTGTATTTTGTTAGCGTCTTCATCAAACAGAACTATATCGTCCGTGTATTTTAAGTCAACAAGTGAATCTGCCGGAAGATTAATCCCTGAGAAGTCAGATGATGAAAGTGTTATCTCTAAAAGCATGTCCATGACAAAGTTAAATAAAAATGAGGAAAGTGGACAACCACTTGAAGTAACCAATTCCGACGACAGCTCGTCGTAATTGAAACGCCTTAATGCTATCAAACCCCTCTACAGTCAGAGTTATGACTTCACACTCAGATCTAAAGTTGCTTACCGTTCTCCAACCGACTTTCTTAGGATGATAGAACCTAAAGGAACATGTGTTCGAGATAAAATTACTCGGTTGGGTCACCACGATAGGTAAGCCCGACCACCACGTCAAGATAGCAACTAAAGTCTATTTTCCACGTTGGCTGCATAAAACTAGCAGTTTATTACTGCATTTATCTTTCTTAAAAACCACTAACATTTGGACTATTGTATTTTTATTTTTATTCATCTGCATATTAATCAATTCGATATTTTTCACCAATCATGTCTCACATGAAGCTATGATCTAGTGATGTAAATACATGATCACCTACTGTTTCACGGGTTCGAATGGTTCTCTTTACCAATGAGTGAGTTATCAGTATTAAATTTTGTACACTAAAAAATAGTGTTCTAAGACTGAGAAACTGTGATACTAAACTGATTACGAACAAGGTAAAGCATGCGTTACCATAATTTCCCCAATATAATAAAAAATATATGTAAAAACTAGAATATAGGCTCGGTTCATTAAACTCACATATTTTAATGTAGACTAAGTTTAGGTATTATTTATAATGAACTTCATGATATGAACTTATTACGACTTAAATCAAAATGGAATGTAGCTTAAAGTCGAATAGGCAAACTCGTATTCGATAAATGAATTACATTTTTAGATATGTTAATACTAACCTAAATGTAAATAAATAATATATTTGTAATATCCCAATGAGTAGAAAATTAGATTTTCTGACGTTTCCTGACTTAGTGTAAGTCACTTCTTCAAAGAATAAATAACCAAATTAAAATTAATCCATGTTTAAATAGTGCAACGGAACAATCATTTTTCCGTTGCACTATTTAAACATGGATTAATTTTAATTTGGTTATTTATTCTTTGAAGAAGTGACTTACACTAAGTCAGGAAACGTCAGAAAATCTAATTTTCTACTCATCGGGATATTACAAATATATTGTTTATTTATAACAATCTACCGAATGCTCAATTTATTTGAAATTATCAAATCAAAGCTTGGTAATGATACCTAATAACCTAAATGGTTGGAAACTGATACGATGCTCAGAGATTACACCTGACAATCAGATCTCAAATGATTAGAGAATGATTTACTTACAAGCTAATTTCCTGAAATCGCTTATGGTATATTGTTATATTTATTTTATATTCATCCTCTTTATATAAGCATTTATCGAATTACATAAAAAAAGCTATTCATATGGCTATTGGTCCTTTCTTTGGTTTCTATTCATTTGAGGGTCTGAGTCAAGTATGCGGTCTCATGAGTAGCTATTACTCGCTTACACTATATCACTGAGTTTATCTATTGATCAGGACTTTACACATTGATTTTGACGGTCAATATTTCGTATAATCAAAACGCAAAAACCTCCTCTTACAAATGATTATGAATACGAGCTTATCAACAGTTTTTGAAATTAAGAAGTAAGTGAAAAGATATACAACGTAAGAATAAATGGTTATTTAACATGGGAAGGGAAACCATTCTCTAAAACCAGAATAAATTACTTATAATACAAAAAAATTGTCATTTGAAGAAAAATAAAGACAATTCAATTTTCAGAATGGGGTTTGTGGAGATTGTAGTAAGTTAATAGTTGAATTCATGAGTCGATTTAGGCTAGACCACCACTAGTAACCTGGGAGATGTATTTCCAGGAGTTCTAGTGAGAAGCTGTGATCAATGGAGTCCAGCCGTGTCTGTTGCGAGGCAGTGACTCACTGAAGACAATGGTGGACGGTCGCGCAATATCGTGGATCGGTTGAAGTTAGATATTAACACCGTTAGATGTCGGCCCAACAGTCCAGAGGTTAAGTGTTCACGCGCGAGACCGAAAGTCCTGAGTTCAAGTCTCGCGTGCGGGATCGTGGATTCGCACTTTTGAGGAGTTCTGTACTAGGACAAAACGGCCATCCAGTGCTTCCAGGCTTTCAATGGTGGTCTAGCTTAAGTCGACTCATGAATTTGACTATTAAATTACAATTTAATTTCTCATATCATTAATATTTTTGTTGAACTTCTTTATTGAAATGTCTTTATTTTTCTTCTAATAAGTTTAGTTCATTACCACACAATGTATTACTTCAAACTCATCTAAAGCTTCTAAAAGTTTTCCAGAAGTTCGTAACCGGATACCATTGGATTTGGAAATTCCATTAAAGACTGATTGAATTAACTCTACTGCATCCGAAAGAGAATTCGAAACAAAAGTTCTTGAATCTCTTGGAATGAGATTATCAGGATAGCGTAAACACACCTAAATTTGGAAAAAAAAGTAAGTTTTTTCATTAATCCAAAGGTTTCTTGTATTGTAAAGTGAAATTTAAGAAAACTCTGAGCTGAAGTAAAGAAACCAAAAATGATCAAGTTTGGTTACTCACTTGACAACGCCTGTTAAGTGTAGTGAAACGCACAATAGGCACTTCCGGTACCTGAATATTTGACAGAACTACCTAGACACTTAGTAAGCCACTTATTGAGTTTTCATACCAAATTAACTTGGTATCATATCTAGTCTACTGTAAAAACATACATAGAGAATGTCATTCGAAAAGAAGGAATGAGTAGGATAAACAAAGAGTATGATTTTGGATTTAAGAATCTAGGAGGACATAAGGAGTGGATGCATTTACATAAGCTTGACTGGTTCTGAGCCTTTCCAGTCAATGTTTCCAACCACTAAGTCAGTTATCCCGCCGCTGGTATAACCGTAATGACACGGAAAAAACTAACAGACAGTGATTTCATTAACTGATGTCATATTTTGGCCTCCTTACAACCAAGTGATAGTTGACACACATCAATAAGTTGGTGAAGAGGTTAAATGAGAGGATTGAAGTCATGTGGGCCTGACGAAATCGCTAGCGAAAACATTCACAACACTAAGTTATTACTTTAAATGTAATTTTATAACTAGTGTCTCAAAACCTTACTGGACTGCTAAATCTAAACTTTGTGTATACCTATGCAGTTATGTAAATGAGTGAATTCCTTCACCTGTTTAACTAACAAACCTGGCCTAGCAAGTATCCACACCAAGACTTAATATGAGTTCCAAATAAATTTAGTGTTCGATGATTTTGTATAATAGGAATGACATATTTGTAATATAACAATGAGCGAAAAAACTTTTAACATTCTCTGTCCTGCTAAAGGGCGGTTTCCATGACGATGATGCTGAGAAACACCGGGCACTTATTTTTATGTTCATTCAAGCTTTAAAAATACATTATTTATATCATAGATTGAACTTACCTTACAAGATGTATGTAATAAAGGCGTATTATTTTTAAGCACGTAGTTGGCAGACTCAATTTTTCTACGGTCTTCAAGATCAATTAGATCAGATGCACGTTTCTTTGACAAGCTGATAAGTTGTAATACATGAGGGTAAAAGGTATTCCATAAACGACTCAGTTCCTGAGAAAGAGACAATATATATATATATATATATATAATGTGATTTGATTTTATCATGTATGGAAAGGTATAAAGGGGTAGCCTCACCAACCAAACGTTTTTAACGGCGCTAGTTCTTAGTAAAGGGTTCTAAAACCCTAACTCGTAAAAAGCATTTCCTCCCATCCTCTATGGTTCTTCGGCTCTAACAGTAAGGACTGTGAATTATGGAGTTAGCTATAAGAAAGCCACTTACACAAAGGTTATATGTAACCGGTCTTAATCATTTGTACCTTCAGATTTCCAGTCACATACTCAGGTGCGCAAGATCAATAAGAATCCTTTAATCAGATCCACGAAAAAGTCTATGACCCCAACTTTTCCGACTACACCTTAAGAACAATCACATTATTAGCATCCACAATCAGCTGAGATGAATTTGTGGAACCATACAGAAGGTGTAACGCACAAGAAACATGTAATGATCCATAATATTAACCCTACTGAAAACACGAGACCGAGGAGCTTTGTACCAGTCTATAAACATAAATACTTTGTGACTGAGACCAAAAGCGCAAAAAGAGCTAGAGGGCTATTCCATTTCCCAAAAGTCTTGATGTTATGATTTCACTTAGAAGCTGGGTGTCGATGTTTCCAGATTTTTTATCTCTACTCTCAATTTGTGTACTTAAGTCTTTACACCGAAACATCGGGTCTCTTGTTCTAAAATCTAAGGGTTAACAAAGCTAGGACATTTTCGCCAAGAAGCCTTTAAGAAGTTCTAGTATATGGTCGAAGTAATGATATATTACGAGAGGAACATCAAACGACATAAAAGCTACATGAACATGGCCCTTAAGATGACGTCGTTTTGAATCCAATGGACGGAATAATTGGTCAAGCAACCAAACACTACATAAAACATACCGCATGTGAAGAGACTGACTGGAATTCCGTAATACCACTGAGGACGGCCTCGAACTGCTGGTTAAGAACCAATGAGTCTGCTATATCAGCTAGTATAAGTAGTCTGCTCAAAGCAGCCAAAAGGGCATTGATAGATCGACAAACACCACTCTGATGGGATTCATTTGCAGGGTCAGACAAAAAACTGGAAACTGAAGAATAAAAATACTGCCCAGTATCAATAACATCTGTTTTAGCGGTTAAAAAATCTGACGATAATGACGGAACACTCTGGACAACACTGAAATCGTCACTAAGCAATTGAATAACCTGCGGATTGTAATGTACAAGAAGGACGAAATATTACCTCTTTGACACTAGACAAAATATCCTCCTGTGGTTTTGACTTAAGACGGTAAGAACCTTTCATGTGACCTCTCCTCGCAAAACACTTCACTTTTGTGAACAGTGGCTCTAAAATGCATTCTACCGCTTTAGTTCGTGTTTCTGTTCCGTATAGCGGCTTAAAATTAACTGATTCCATGAATTACACAACACAAAACGAGCGATGAAACAATTGTGTAACCCTACATTTGACTTCGTCGAAGGTTAGATATACAAATTTCAATACCCAGTTGAACTTTGTCTTCGATCCACAGCAATAAATATTAAAGATCAAACAACCGATAAGAACTCTTGAGGATTTTGGCAACGTGAAAGTCTAACCTTTCTTAGAAAATGATATTAAAAACTGAGTCTAATCATTCTATTGACAACACGGGTTGAAGTTTAAAACAAAATAAAAAACAGGTTAACTGTAAAGCCTACTCTCTAATAGGTTTAAACGCTCGTCGAGATTTTTAGCTGCATACAATCTTAGGCGCTACAAATCAAACCACTCCTTAAACGGATCCAAGAAGTTATAAGCAACTTAAGGGCTCACAGTATTCTTAACACTTCTGGACATCCCCTTAAACACCTAGATAATTTTAGCTCCAACAGTAACTTAAGGGGTAACACTCAGAAACTGGGGACACAACATAGCAGAATGGACTGTAGACACAACTTCTACTCTTTAAGAGTTGTCAAATCCTAGAATTGGTTGCCGAGGGAACTAATCCAATCGACTTCCCAGGATTCGTTTAAGAGGAAACTTGACCTATTCGTAAGGACTAAGGATAATATCTTACTATGATTTACCAATTGTTTTCCTCTATTATCGTTAATATGCCTATGTTCCTGCCTGGAGGTATTGGTGATCCACTGCTACTAGACCCTTAAGCCCGTTAATCGAAAGGTTCTTCTATTCCATCCACAACCACTTGAACCATTTGAACCTACAATCATATGAAAGCATAACCTTCGAAAGCTAAATAGTGGCGGCAGCATATGTAGGCAGAAAGAGACCAATGCACAAAGACACTGAAGAAAGATAGGCTTCAGTATCAGGACAACATAATTGACAAATTTTCTCCAATTAAAAAAGCTTATTCTGTCATGCAGCCTGTCTTCGACAAGCCGAAATCTGGATTTCTCGGTTATTAGTCCCAACGGCCAGACAAACAATGGTATCGATGCCGCAGAGCTCCTGGCGAAACGGTATTTTTAGACATTTTAACTGTCATGTACAACTTACATCGACAATCGTTTCACCTGAAACGCAAGAGGAGTCTCAGAATTAAACCAATACACTGGATTCGTGTATCAACAGCTGCAGGATCTAAACAAAAATGCATCCCCTGGATCAAACATGTACAACACTGCAATGTTGGGAAAGAAGACTTTAATCTTGTGTCATGTCCTCACAATAGTTAAGCTAAGGTGAGGCCATGGACACTTACAATTTTTCATGCATCACACCAATTTTCAAAGAAGACTAACTCACTGAGCCTTTAAGTAACCTTCTGGTGGCACTTCTTTTTATATCCTCAAAGGTTATGGAGACTTTGGTGTACTCACGCGATCTTCGGAGCTAAATATAAGATAACTATGAAAATTCATACTCAACGCATAACATGGAGAGGTCAGCAATGGTGGAAGTGTAGGGTGGCGTTGAGTCGCGGTTGACTATGGTCACCACTACAAGAAGGTTGAGCACCAGATATCGGAAGGCGATTGGAAGTTGCAGCCATATGTAGAATTATGGTCTACTACGATATTATTACTGCTCTAATAATAGACCTAATCCCAAAATTGTAGATTCGTCATGATATAACTGCCTAATCTATAAGATCTTACGTGGAAGTCACACCATCGACTACACCAACTCACTGTATCGTATCAATTACCAATACCTGACGAGGAACAAGGTTAGGCTAGAGAAAGAACAATATATTTAATATGAATAGAAGATATAAAGTAACACTGAAATGGACCACGCCTGCATGGACGAGCCATGCCACTCGATCAACTCCCGTCCATTCAATTCATTGTTCGCGCCTTCTCCATTGTTAGGTATTTCTCCGCGTTAAATATTGAATATCTATTTTCTGAGTAGTCTCGTGTTCACAGCTTTGTGGATTGTGTGGCTATTGTCCAATGCCACTACACTACTCTCCCACCAGAATCAACGTGATGTTGGTTCGATACCAAATTGGATGGGATCGTCGCGCGCCGGAGGTTACCAAGGATAATAAGAATCCTCCGGGTATTGGTAAGCTGAAAGATAAATCAAAAAGAAAGCGGCAGCATCTGGTCGGGAAATACATGTAATAATTTTAAAATATCTGCCTTCATGCTTAAAACGCTTGAAATGAAAATTTGGGTGAAGATTATTTGAACTATAAAAAATAGGATTACAATAATAATAATAATAATAAAACGATGCGTGTTAATAACTTAACTTATAGGTAGTAATTATTTTGTGTTTAGAAATATTAAAATAATGAATATTGTAGAAATGTTAATATTGGTATTAGTTTTGGTTTAAATTATGAAATCGGATAACGATTATGCCGGTAAGTTGTCCATAAGAGTTGATTTCCAATTGCATCTGTATCAGTAGGCTAACTGAAGGAACAAAAGTATTACCATGGTAAAGAATTCCAACTAGTGTTCCAGTTAGTTTGATACGGTTTATTTAGTTACGGGAAGATTTTCTCAACCTCATTTTTACTTGACCGTGATAGAATTTGGTAATACTACTAATACACATGAATGGTTACCAAAATAAAATTTAAATACGTGAGTGATGATTATATGAATTTTGGACAGATAGCTAGGAACAAATCGTTAAACATGAGCGTATTCGTAAGAGACATGCTCTAGACTCAATGTTCTGATCTGTGGCAGACTATTTACTTGTATTTATACTTGCCGAGTGATTGGACATACAAGTTAGTTGCAAGTATGCAGTTTATCATAAGGCGGAACACGATTTAATTGAGATATAGTGGTTACAAGTTATTAAAATCAGTTAGACCTGTGTCATATTACGAAGTGATGTGGTGCTGCAAAATGTATTTAGCTAAATAAGTTTTTACAAGATGATTAATAGTGAGTGATGCTCATGTGATTATCAGGGAGAACATAAGTTGTAACCAAGGGGAGTACACTCCCAACTCATGTCTATGACAATGGCTTGAACCTTAGTCAGTGTTGGGGTAAATTCGACATTGATGTTTTCAGTTTGCAGGAGATTTGCTCGACTGCTTATACTGATTATTTGCATGCATGATTGTGTCGCTAAACCATCAATTAGACTGACAAGGTTTTGAGATATTTATTGAATGAGCAACTGATAGAGAAACATACTGTAATCATCTGTGATGGATGAAGATACCAAGAAAACAACACCATTTAATGGTAATTATAAGTCAATTTGTTGACCGATTTCGTTAATAGTTTCATTAATTTTATCAATCATATTACGTGATTGTCAAGTTATGACAATGCTTTATGACGATATCCTGAAACTATTATGTTTAACTAGTTATAGTGTTGATTGAGGATTAGTCAGTGGAAAAATAGGTATTGTTGCTTTATGTGATTCGAAATTATCAGAAATTTACAACGTTAAGGAATCCGAGACGCCTAATTTAATTATATTTTTCAATTCAGAAATATTCGTTTAGTGTTAATTCTAGTAGGCTACGGAGTTTTGATTTCAAACGTTTGTTTAGCCAACAGCTACCTGGGGATTTAGTTATTTTACTAGTGCAGTTGATAGTACTTAATTTTAATCTTATTATCTAAACTATGTTCACATTTTAGGCTGCTAATATGATAAATCAACCCATAAACCCAAATACGATTAGCAACAACGACTATGATGGGTTTATTGATAAATGTTAAAGGCGATTCAGATGATTTCTAAATTCAAAAGATATGAAGATATAGTAAAACGTATGTACGGGCCAGGTTAACATGCAGGTTGTTGACGTATATAAAAATTTAAAAATAATGAACATGACCAGAAAATAATTTTAAAGTTAAGACTGCTTGTAAAACTTCAGGCAGGAATATGATGCGTTATAAACCTTCCATAAGAAGTTACTGCATTTAGCTTAGTGACACTTACAAATATATGGCAAAAGCAACTGGAAAACATATACATGTTAAGTACAAAAAAAAACATCACTAAGTAAAATAGTTGAACTCGCCTGGGTTATTTTCGATTATATTATTCAGTGGACGACATATATAACGCCATTCGTGAGGAGTAGTAATGATCCAAAAGTATCCAGAATAAAACATGCAGTATGGCAATTAATTCCAGAGTATTTGATGCTGTTGACGTTTTTGCCACTCGCTCGGATCAGAACAACCGGATGAATTCAGATAATTGTGCGGTCACCATTGAACGAGCCATCTAAAATGAACTTATGATTGCAGAAAACTTATGGATGAAACCCATTGTATGTTTTTAGAGAAGTCAACCTCGTTGTTTGGCAATGGAACTCGAGAATATGAAATTAGGCAGGCAGTGGTCGGAAGAAAAGATATTACAGGATAGGGCATCGTTTAAAACAGGATGAGGTGTTAAGTGAAGGAACACTGAGAATTAGATCCAGATAACTATTTAGTCCTTGATCGCATTGTTAGTCAATGTATATTTACGCTATTTACAGGTCATATTTGCTAGAGCTTGATGTTTGAACAAGTCTATGTCGCTGAAGCATGTAAATGCTATTAAAGCTTGTTAACGAACCATCAAAGCTAATTACTTAATATAGACGACCGGTTTTTACTATTGATTGGGCTAGTATATCATGAGAACTAATCAATATAACATTACGATAATACATGTGAGCATTAATTATAGGACTATTAGAATATTGGGTTAACATAAATATATAATAGATCAAGAAAGTTAAAGTCGAAATATGATTAGCAATAATAGGTTGCGTTTCTTTAGTCGGGCTTACCAATGTAGAATTATGGTCTACTACGATATTATTACTGCTCTAATAATAGACCTAATCCCAAAATTGTAGATTCGTCATGATATAACTGCCTAATCTATAAGATCTTACGTGGAAGTCACACCATCGACTACACCAACTCACTGTATCGTATCAATTACCAATACCTGACGAGGAACAA